TGGCAACGGCAAGTCTGAAGGCTTGTGACGCTAAAAAACCGGGTTTCGATATCCGTGGTGGGCAGAGCACAGACAGTTCATTATGTAGCTTTGTGTTTAACTTCAAACAAACAAACAAACCCCTAAGTGGCAATGGCAAGTCTAAAGGCTTGTGACGCTAAAAACCGGGTTTCGATACCCGTGATGGACACAGCACAGATAATCCATTGCGCTTAACAACAACAAAGAAACAACAAAAGTGACATAATTCCTTCGAGAAAAATATTCTAACCCTAACAATACTTCGGAAATATTGATTTTCTTTTAATACTTATTCCTTGAGGTAAATATTTTCGTAATTCTCCTGTATTCTGATCAGAAAACTAAGCGAAGTATCGTGAAAAAGAAACCAATAGAAAGACATGAACACCACAAGTATAGACGTCTACTTTGAAACTTTGAAGAGTCTCCTAATCTCGTATGTTATTTTTCTTGAAAATACAATTTCATTATAAACTATTTCTTGTTAAGGAATGTCGCTGATAATCAAAGAAAGCTTTTCTAGCAAAATGTACAGAAGGTATTAAAACTAACAAAAATTTCATTAAAACATCCACGTCAATGAAATCCGGTTAGTGCTTTAATGAATTTTTAAAGAGAAAGCGAATGTCTGGAACAGCAGAGGACACTAAGACTTATTCATGCTGGATCATCTTATTGTTATTTATGGCGGCTTCTTTTTCTGATCGTAGACAACGTTCACAAAAACTTTAGACGCGATTCGTCCGCGTAAGAAGACAGGTGACGTTGCAGAGAACTATTTTTAGGTCGTTTACTAATTTGTAGCCTAGCTCATTGAACAACCAAAAAGTATCTTAATTACTTACGTGGAAATAATCTAAATTGAAAGAAACCAGATGATGAACCAATAGGTGGAATATTAAATTAATCATTATTGATACTTAACCTTAAAATTATCGACTTATTTAATATTAAAATAATCATTATTGATACTTAACCCTAAAACAATCGACTTATTTAATATTAAAATAATCATTATTGATACTTAACCCTAAAACAATCGACTTATAATATTAAAATAATCATTATTGATACTTAACCCTAAAATTATCGACTTATTTAATATTAAAATAATCATTATTGATACTTAACCCTAAAATTATCGACTTATTTAATATTAAAATAATCATTATTGATACTTAACCCTAAAATTATCGACTTATTTAATATTAAAATAATCATTATTGATACTTAACCCTAAAAGTATCGACTTATTTAATATTAAAATAATCATTATTGTTACTTAACCCTAAAATTATCGACTTATTTAATATTAAAATAATCATTATTGTTACTTAACCCTAAAATTATCGACTTATTTTATACTGCTCATTACATATTGAATCAATTTGATGATTTTTTTGTGTGTTTTGTTTGTTACTGCATTCATTGAAATGATTCATTCTGGGTTTGCTTATTTTGTTGGTAAGCACAAAGCTACACGATGGGCTATCTGTGCTAAGCCCACCTCGGGTATCGAAACCCGTTTTTTAGCGTGAGATGCTCACAGACTTACTGCTGAGGCAGTCACCGGGGAGGGGGAGTGAAGGGGAGTAATATTCTAGGGGAATGCCAGAAGTGATTATTGGGGTTGATTGCTAAGCCCAGTGCGGGTATCGAAACCCAGTTTTCAGCGTGAGAAGCTCGCAGACTTACCACTGAGCCAGTCACCGGGGAGGGGGAGTGAAGGGGAGTCATATTCTAGGAGAATGCCAGAAGTAATTAGTGGGATTGATTGCAATATTGTTGTAAGCGCCATCTTTCTTTATATTTTGTATTGTTGTCGTTATTGTTGTTTTCTAGTGTAAAAACTACACAATGATTTATCTGCACTCTGTCCACCACGGGTATCGAAACCCGGTTTCTACCTCTGTAAATCCGCAAACTTTCCACTGACCCACTAGAAACATGGCGCATGAGTAGTGTAGAAAAATTTGCTCAAGAAGACAGTGGGACACACAGGGATCCAACTCACAATTCTAGGCTTAAAGATGTCCCTAGGACATAAACACTGAATAATTTCATTCTCAACCGCTTATGAATAATAAAATGCCAACAGTTGATACAGTTAAAAAAACTTTGTTGTACAGCGCCATCTGTAACTTTTTATGAAAATAATTTTAAAATGCCCCTGGTGTTGAGCATGTAAAATAACAACCAAAATATTCTAGCTCTCAGAAATTGCTTTTATTTATATTCGCTTTCACGAATGCGTTGTTGTGAATGTTTTAGGGTACTTTTCGTACTTACCAAAGCGTAATTGTATCTTACTGTTTTCTGTATCACCGAATTCCCAGTGTTTCGTGCTTGCGATTTTGTTTTGTACAAGAAAACAGTAACTTGTTCGCACAAGTTTCCAATTATTCTTGTCATCACATTTCACTTTCTATAACCTCGCTTTCTCTCCAGAATGTGTAAGAGGAAGAAAGCATTACTTTGCATCTCGAACCCCGGACCCTTCGATCTGCAAAACAACGTCAATGTGTCATTAACATTCCTGTCTACTCTATCTATCCGTCCTTCATATCTTTTCGTTCATCCATCGAGAGAAAGAGGGGGGTTTTGGATCCATATAGACTTCCTTTAAAAATTATTCTGGGCTACTGAATCGGTTTTAGTACTGGAGAAGATAATATAACATTAGGTATCGAAGTAAAATATGTATATATAAAGAAAATAATGACAAACCTAGCAGGATTTCTTTCAGGGACAGTTTAAATAATATTTAACGATATTCCCTCTAGATCAGAAGTGAGGATTTAACTTTTAATGTAACGTCTAACAACGTTGATTTACACAGTCTTAAGCAGCTACTGTTGTGTAAAAAAAAAATAACCCTTAACAACCAAAAAAAAAAGATAAGAAAACATTAACCGTGATTTTTTTTCTGTAGAAATTCAACGTTCAGATCTTCAGACATCTAGTTGGTATAGCAACAGCTAAAGGTTAAAAACAACAACAAAAAAAAAGCACTTGAGGAACTTTACGATGTTCTTGTTTAACTCATCCACGACAACGTATAGTAATCCTCTTTCTCTCCGTCTCACCAAATAAAACTTCAATTTAGTTCAGCTTACTAAACCTAAATTCGATAAATCCTAAAGATGGCATTTCCTTTTTATTTCGTCTAATTAGATGGAGGACGTCTCTTTCCTTGTAACTTTGGACCAGTCGCTTGTAACAAAACACTAGTTTCTATCAATCCTTGGGACCAGTCGCTTGTTACAAAACACTATTTTCTATCAATCCTTGGGACCAGTCGCTTGTAACAAAACACTAGTTTCTATCAATCCTTGGGACCAGTCAGTGTATTGTTACAAGCATTTTCTACCAATCCTTGAGACCAGTCGCTTGTAACAAAACACTAGTTTCTATCAATCCTTGGGACCAGTAGCTTGTAACAACACACTATTTTCTACCAATCCTTGGGACCAGTCGCTTGTAACAACACACTATTTTCTATCAATCCTTGGGACCAGTAGCTTGTAACAACACACTATTTTCTACCAATCCTTGGGACCAGTCGCTTGTAACAACACACTATTTTCTACCAATCCTTGAGACCAGTCGCTTGTAACAAAACTTTAATAGCAGAAAAAGGGGTGAGAAATCCTAATCCACTTCTTGAACAAAACTCCTTATTTTTCCACCTTTCCACCCACACTTCTCTCCATATCTACTCCAGTTCATCATTATATCCTTGTTTAACCTGCATCCACCCACCTCGAATTTCAACCCTTTTTATTAGTTTATTTCTTGCGAATTTATTCCCAGTTTCTCGAACTTCCATTTTTTTCCCACCTACTTACATGAATATCTTATTCATTTAATTCCAGATCATAACCACTGACATGGGTTTCCTAGACACTGCTAGTCATATCATACTCGAGATGACACTTTAACAAGCCCATTAATAACCCTTATTTACCACTATTGTGTGTTACTCTTACGAAATAGCTCAGAATATATCCATATTGGTTCACGAATCATCTGGACATTGTATGTTTGATATCTAAAAACAGTCTGCCTCGTATCCTGACGTCACAAGCTGTTGTGAGCAGCTGGCTGAGTAGATTTCGATAAAACTTCGCAAAGGATCTCCAGTGGAACTCCCAAATATTGGATTTAAAAGGATAAGAAATTTGGCGAATAGTTCGAGTGTGGCAGCTCTTTCGATTTTCAGTAAATTTAACTGACGTATAATCCCATGCGCAGCACGAGCATCTTTTGCTAATCGCCCCTATTCAGTAGACAGATTCCTATAGCGAATGACGCCAACGCGCACCGTCCGAACTATCCTCGTGAAACCAGCAATAAAATTCCTTCCCTAGCGCGGATAAATTCCTGAGAATATTCCAAAATTAAATCACTCCTCAGCAAAGAAGAACAAATGAGACATTCCATATTAAGAGAAGTCTACTGAATGTAACTCAAGTTGCAGTTTGAAGAGGCATTAGGAATCTCCTATGGAAGGTTTTTCCTTTACGACCTGGTGAATACCTCACTGACACGTTGTCCATTCCAGACAGGTGCAGTCCATAAAGACTTCAAATCCAGTAGAATATTGCTCTGAACTTCCTTTGAAACACTTATTGATTGAACTTACAAACTTCACGTTTTCGGCTTTCTAAGCCTATTTATTGGATTCTCGTACCTTAGTTGAAAAAGATAAAGATATATTGAGGTTTAAGAAAGTTTTTAAACAAAAACTCTTGGACGTTTCAACTACAGAAACTTGGTCCACAGGAGGGACATAAATTGGAAATTACAATCTACACACTGTCTACGATAGACATGAAATCCATTTTTTACCCTGATTTGAATTTTCTACAATATGGTAACTAATTTTCAATACTTGAACATTAACATGAATCATTTCTAAAATACTAATTATGTTTGTTTGTAATTAAGCACAAAGCTACACAATGGGCTATCTGTGCTCTGCCCACCACGGGTATAGAAACCCGGGTTCTAGCGTTGTAAGTACGCAGACATACCGCTGTGCCACTGGTGGGGGCACTGATTATGAAACTGCTTTTATTGTGACTCCAAAGTGCGAGATAACGTGGTAAGTAAATGATCAGTAGGAATATAATCCAATTGGGAGGTAAATGATCAGTAGGAATATGATCCAATTGGGAGGTAAATGATCAGTAGGAATATGATCCAATTGGCAGGTAAATGATCAGTAGGAATATGATCCAATTGGGAGATTAATGATCATAGAAATGTGATCAAATTTGGAGATTAATGATCATAGAAATGTGATCAAATTTGGAAATTAATGATCATAGAAATGTGATCAAGTTGGTAGATTAATGATCAATAAAAATCTAATCCACGTGACTCCAATGTGGAAGATAAATGATCAATAGGAATAACGTCAACGTGGAAGATTAATGATCAGAAGGATCGACACGTGAGATTAATGACCAATAAAAATATGATCAACGTGACTTGAAATTTATGATCAATAGGAATGATCTCTGTCCAAATAATTTTATACAATTTGAAACACAAGCGAGGATTTTTGAATTTCTCTTTATAAAGTACGAATACGTTTATGTTTCGTCTGTTTCTTCCCGTTTCTTTCCAAAATTTGTTTAAAATGCTGAATACATAAAAGGACTGGAGAAATTTGGTTCTTGTACAAATAAATATGCATAGTAGTGTCTTTAAAAAAATATGTTAAAAACAATCATTTCTATAGCTATTTATGCCCAACCGATTACAAAACAGACATTTCCAATACTTTCTCGGTACCTCCGACTGCTGAAAAACTCTTTATTTGGACGAGTTTATTCGACCTATCTTTAAATGCAAAGTTCTGTCTAATGTGCTTGAAAATTAAAATGAAACATAAAGTTTAATGTGACGAGATATTGTTCCATTTTTTATTCTGGTTCGCTAAGTATTATTTGTTGAAGGAGAAGTACATTTATTAAGTAAATTTAAAATTAATTGAATTAAAGTTTCGTACGCACAATAATTCTTCGTGATTACCATCTACAATCTCATTAAGTATTGTAATTAATTCATTACCTTTACCAGAGAATTAAATTATGAGGTAATAGACAGATAATCACTCTTAAAAATCGTCAAGAAAATAAAATTTATTGGAGCGTCTAATTACTTGCTGTTTCGGTATCACGGCTTTCAAATAATGTTTAGTAGTTACAATCATAAGTTTGTTTTGTTTGTAGCTAAGCAATGCGAATGGCTATCCGTGCTCTACCCACAGTTTCTACCTTGTTTCTAGCGTTGTAATTCCGCAGAGATACCGCTGTGCCGCTGGAGAGGCTCACTCATAATAGGGTCACTAGGTAAAGATGGAACACAAACCAGCAAGTATATCTGAACGACTATGCAAAGTCCGATGAGTTCCTTTTGAATTACCTGGCTTAAGTAATAAATTAAGTTTAGAAAGTAATTATCTGGCTTAAGTAATAAATTAAGTTTAGGGAGTCATAAATTGAACTCTGAATAATTGAGGGAATTTTGTTCACGAATTAATGGAGTTTCTAATTGGGCTGAATATTTGTACCTAATATTTTTTTAGTACTGCCACATTCGTCAAGTTAACAAAGTTGCAAGTAATTCATGGTTTTTATTTTGTGTGAGTTAACTTTGTAGGCTAGAACCTTCTAGTGGATCCGGCGAACTTACTTTGTAGGCTAGAATCTTCTAGTGGATCAAGAGAACTTACTTTGTAGGCTAGAACCTTCTAGTGGATCCAGATAACTTACTTTGTAGGCTAGAACCTTCTAGTGGATCCAGAGAACTTACTTTGTAGGCTAGAACCTTCTAGTGTATCCGGAGAACTTACTTTGCACGCTAGAACCTTCTAGTAGATCTGGAGAACTTACTTTGTAGGCTAGAACCTTCTAGTGGATCCGGAGAACTTACTTTGTAGGCTAGAACCTTCTAGTGGATCCGGAGAACTTACTTTGTAGGCTAGAACCTTCTAGTGGATCCGGAGAACTTACTTTGTAGGCTAGAACCTTCTAGTAGATCCGGAGAACTTACTTTGTAGGCTAGAACCTTCTAGTGGATCCGGAGAACTTACTTTGTAGGCTAGAACCTTCTAGTAGATCCGGAGAATTTACTTTGAAGGCTAGAACCTTCTAGTGGATCCGGAGAATTTACTTTGAAGGCTAGAACCTTCTAGTGGATCCGGAGAACTTACTTTGTAGGCTAGAACCTTCTAGTAGATCTGGAGAACTTACTTTGTAGGCTAGAACCTTCTAGTAGATCCGGAGAACTTACTTTGTAGGCTAGAACCTTCTAGTAGATCTGGAGAACTTACTTTGTAGGCTAGAACCTTCTAGTAGATCCGGAGAACTTACTTGACTAAATTAGAGTACGAGAAATAAAAACCTATGTGCAGATCCTCTGTATAAGATACCGCGAACTCATCTAAATGTTCTATGTTTAACAATTTTTTGTACGATTTACATTAATATAAATATTGCTAAGGAAAATAATGAGGCAGATATCCTAAAGCTTTACGTCCTAGTCAAAATTAGTCTGACAAAGTTAATTACTTTTGTTTGAGATCATTAATTTTATGTAGATTTTTAGTAAGTATTGACGGGTTATGTCTAACAATCTATCCGACAGATGGCACCACAATCTACAAAATACACGCAAATCTTTTGCCGTGTTTAGATCGTTAGCCAATTGTATTACAATGTTTTTCACTAAAATAACATTGAGAGTTGTACTTAATCAAACAATTTTTTATTTAAATAAAGCACATTTCGGGCTCATCACAACAAACTGAAAATTATGACTAAATAAACAAACATTACTAAACTAAAACCATTTTTTCAATGGCTTCAAAATACACGCGCCACTTCCCAAGTGAAAACAAAAACGTGATTTCATTAATGGTTTCTCGTGGCATAAGGAAATGAATGATCTATTGTGAGATCTGTCTATTTATCTACATCCGAGTCAAACAATTTTAGGATAATGTTTCCTGTTTTCATCTTAACACTAACATTGTTATTTATCTGGCTGACGAACACGTCATACCATATGACAGCAGTAGCAGGACCATGACATATGATCTGACCCGTTCTGCCAAGAAACAAGTTTATCAGCTCCACACCTTGAACTCTTACAATTTTCCACTTATCAAATTTAGAAAAACAGCAACAACAAAAAACAAAAACACACAGCACCAAATATAATATAATTTTAAATAAGTAACATGAAGCGACATCTTTTAGTTAGAAATTGTACCTTTTCTTAAATGAGACTTCAAAACGTGAGATAATGTAACGTTATGTTGATGTCTTTTAGATCAAATCCTAAGTAAGCCGGAACTGACAGGAAGCCACCCGGTTAACACAACAGTGGAATACGGAAGAACGGCCACCTTCCAGTGTCGTGTACGAAGTCAAGACGTCCCTCATATCCAGGTGGTTTTCTGTGTGTATAGCTGTAGGATGTTAATTAACACACTTCTCATGTAGAGACGATTTTTAGTTACAAGATAACATTGAGACAAGTCTCCCTACATATCCATTGTACTTTAAATGTTGTCTATGTCTATTATACAGAAGTACAGAGTGAAGTCTTCTTTCACACTCAGATTACTTTAGATGTTCCCTACGTACTCTCGTCATGTACGGGTGATTTTAGTATTGTTTACGTTCAACACCACAAGGCAAGAGTCCTGTCATGTCCAGTTGATTTTAATATTGTTTACGGGTTTGTGATGTTGAATAGACTCCTGCCATGTCCAGTTGATTTTAATATTGTTTACGTTCAACATCACAAACCTAGACTCCTGTCATGTCCAGTTGGTTTTAATATTGTTTACGTTCAACATCACAAACCAAGACTCCTGTCATGTCCAATTGATTTTAATATTGTTTACGTTTAACATGACAAGGCAAGAGTCTTGTCATGCCCTTTAATGTTATTTTAAGGAAAATGAATATATACAGATCCCGTGTTAGCAAGAAACTAATGAAACAAGTTATAAGCTACAAAAGATACAATTTTGGAAGAGAATAAATGCCACATTAGCCCCGAAATTGAGTTGGAGATACTCTGTCTCTCCAGTTACCAGTTATTCATTTAATAGGGGTGGGGTGAGTGAAAAATTAGTGTTGTCTTAAAATGAGCAAACCGACTAATAAATAAACTGGCTTGGAATTCATATACTCCAACCGTTAGCATCCACTACACATCATCTGCTCGCGGCCATTTTATTTGTGAACTTTTGTGGAAAGCTATATGAGGGCTATCTGCGCTACTTATAGCAAATGGACTAGAGAGAGAAGGCAGCTATTTAACACCACCCACCGCCAAATTTTAGGCTACCCTTTTGCCAACGAATATTATAACGCCCCCACTGCTAAAAGGACGAACATGTTCGGTGATGGGATTCGAACATGCGACCTGTAGATTGTCAAGCGCTTCCTAATTCTGGATGCAGTAGTTATACGTGAGTATCAATTAATATATAACTATAATACCAACCAATATGATTGGTACTAAGATCACCCACTTCCCACCTACAACAGTGGTTAAGAACAGGGACGACACTTAAACCTCATATGAACTTCCCATTCATAAATGGAAAATTTAAAGAATATATCACAATAACATGAAATACTGATCTTACATTTAATGCTTTGAACAGGGTTTGTGACGTGGATTCTCTCCGCTAGGTTTCAGATTCAAGGGAAGAAAGCCAAAGGAAAAAAAACTTTTTTTCCAATAATTTTAATTATTCTATTAATAGTATTACTTGTAACCTAAAACCAGTACATAAGGTTTGTAGTACTTTACATAGATTCGCATGGTCAGATAATTAGGGGGCGCTCGACTCGCAATCTGAGGGTCGCGAGTTCAAATCCCCGTTCCACCAAACATGCTCGCCCTTTCAGCCGTGGGGGTGTTATAATGTGATGGTCCATCCCACTATTCGTTGGTAAAAGAGTAGCCCAAGAGTTGGCGGTGGGTGGTGATGACTAGCTGCCTTCCCTTTAGTCTTTCACTGCTAAATTAGGGACGGCTAGCGCAGATATCCCTCGTGTAGCTTTGCGCGAAATTAAAAAACAAACAAACAAGCATTATAAGTTTTCAGATTTACAGTTGACCACCGAGAGGGGCGTATTATTGCAAATACGATTAATTATAATTATGCTTCGTCGGCTCAGAAAAGATCTTAATACCATAACAAATACATGAATTATCCTAATTATCTTGAGGTATTTACAAGAATATTATAATGCTGTAATAGATGTTAATTCAACGCAAAAATGCAGGTATTGATCAGATGGTTGATCAAAAGAATTGGTGATTTGACATAACCGGTAACTGATTATTCCCCTCCCCCCTTAAATCTACATTTTTACCTACAATATTATTATGTGTATGTTTACTCCATTTTAGTGGTTGAGGCGAGTAAAGAAGAAAGAAACGGTTCTTCAGGACGACCTTATTAAAGTAAAAGATGAGTTCTACCACGTCCTCAAATCGGACCACACCGTGGAACAACCTAAAGGAATGTTTCTTAATAAACTACACATCAACGAAGCTCGGGAATCGGATTCGGGAAAATACCTGTGTTTGGGGTCAACGCCTACCGGATATAGCTACCGGTCTGCGTTTCTGACAGTGACGTCACGTAAGTGTATGGATGGGTGACTGCCAAAAACATAAATTAAAGACACCCACCCACCCCACTTCCCTTAAGTGTCTCCTAACCTATAAAATCAATGGGTACAAGGGATAAGGAACAACAAGGGTTTGAATGGGTGAAGCAACACGTCCCCCAGTGGGACATCGCTAAGTTTACTGAATTACAACGCTAAACTAGGGGTTTCGATTCACTATGATGGACAAAGCAGATAGCCTAATGTGGCTTTACTCTTAAAAAAATAACGACTGAAGCAATACAATCTGACTATTATTATTGTATTTATATGATAGGATATTAATACTTTTATTATCATTCATTTCTGGTCAAAGAAAGCTATCCACGTAAATCCAAACTAATCCAGTAATTAACAAAAATAATTTACTACAACCATGGATATCCAATGTCATAAAATAAAAACTTCTAATTATCAGAATGCGTTAAATCATCTGTTGGGCACACTCGCTGTTAGCGATGTTTTCGGCCGTAATCCTAATAATGTCTCACGAGGTTCACTATAGAGCTTGAGGTTAGACTGGTTAGTCCTAACATCAAGTCAACGTTTCCCAAAGTGTGGGACGCCCCTCCTCCTGGGGTACACATGATATCTTGGGGGGGGGGGAGGGAAATGATCAGGGTATAATCAATATGCAATAATGCAAGAGGGGTGTGTGCAAGAAACCATATTTATTAAAGCGGTGCGTAGATGACAAAAGTTCGGGAACACTGGACTAAGCTAAAAGTGAAAATCTTCCTAATAACAATAATGATATATAATGAAATATAAAAAAATAACGAAATCAAATATTTTACCAATATTGTTAATGAAATAAACACACACACAAACAACAGAATAACTTACTTACAAGATACTTAAAGAACTGGTCACTTCCTTTACGCACCAATTTCCTATCCTTTGAAAAACGTACGTGAAATCACACAAAAAATGATGATACATTTCATGCATATGACATGGGTGCATCAATAAGGATCATAGTTTTGTTTATCCAATATTATGGAATCAAAAAGTTTCAAATGGATCTAGAAAGAACCTAGGTGTGAAGTAGTGGAATCCCATAATCCATATATCCTCTGTAAGAATAATAAAACAAAAACAATAACCAAGATTTGACTGTGCCCAACACGGGCATCGAAACCCCGTTTTTAGCGTTATAAATCCACAGATTTACTGGTGATCTTCTGGAGGGGAAGAGGGCTTTGCTTTCCAAAGTTATTAATACAAATCCTTTAATTTATTTTATACATTTTTTATATGTAGAGTTTTACAATATACCTTAAACTGTTTAATGGACTTATTGGTGATTATATCCAGAAAGAAGTCTTTTTCATAATTTTCTTTGGAAATTTTATGTATTATAAATTCTTTAACAATAACAAAAGATTCTGGCAAACTATCTGTGCCTCGGCACATTTCAAACCAATAGACACACATTCCAAAGATTGGCTTGTTTGTTGCTAAGCGCAAAACTACACAATGAGCTATTTGTATTTAACCAATCGCAGGTATCAAAATGCAGTGTCTAATGCTATAAACCCTCAGACTTACTGTTATGCCACTAAAGATTGTTAATCGGGGTAATATATATATATATATTTATTCAATCATAAATAGTGTCGTGGATCTTAAGTCGAAAGAAGCAAAATTGGACGGTTTGTTTGAAGTTGATTGTTTTGTTTTTTTGTTTGTTTTTGAATTTCGCGTAAAGCTACACGAGGGCTATCTGCGCTAGCCGTCCATAAT